AGGCACGCGCGTGCAGCACCGGCTGGCTGGAGGGACAGCAGACGCATCAGACGCTGGCGAGCATCGCTGGTGGCGGCGCCGTGGCCGGCGGCGGGCCCGGTCGGCCGGCCGTGACCAGCGGTGGCCGGCCGTGTCGCCGGTCGGCCGGGCGCGGGCACGGCTCCGCCACTTTCACGGGTGGGCCGCGACCCTTGCGCGGCCGCCGGCGGCGCCGGCGCCGCTCCCAGCTGGCCGGCCCAGGCGGCGTCTGGCCACAGCGGCGAGACCGAGCCGCGCGCGGGCCCGAGTCGGGTCGAGTCGCGACCGCTGCCGACGCCCGCGAGCTAGGAGGGCTGCAGGGCTGCTGCTGCGAGCGGCGGGACGTGCCGCTGCGACACTGTCACGGTCGCTGCCGTCGGTGCGAGCCGCCGGTCCGGTGGGGCGGCGCGAACAGGTGAACTCGGTGCCCGGGCCGCTGGGCTGAACCGCCTGCCGCCGCCGGCCGTCCACGGCCGGCTCGTGCCACCTGTCGACCTGCGACCTCTGACGTCATGGAAAAGACTGCCCAGCGGCAGCGGACGACCTGCGCCACACGCCATGCGCCGTTGGGGCCTCCAGCTACGGTAAATATTCTGCTGACTCTGACCGGTCTGCAGGCTGATGCGGAACATTTTTGGGCACTGCATTCGTAATCAAGGGAGCTGTCTTGTTTCTGTATGGCCAGCACGTGTTGATTGTGTTGGGATTTGTTCGCATGAATACTAACATTTGCTTGACAACGTCATCTCGTCAAGAAATTGTGCTATTGCGTGTGGCATGATTTCCTCAAATATCTGCTTTGAAGCGCAGCAATCTGCTATCTTGTTAACGGAAAATCGGACGCCATTTAATCATATCAAACCTAGTTGTACATACAGCGTTTACATGTGCATGCCATGGTCCTGCGCTGTCTCCCAAGATAGCGCAGGACAGCTAAAGATCATGAAAAACATAACGAACATTAAACTTATTGGGCTGAACAAAATATCCCTATATCTTTCTTGGCGTGTTTAACGACCAACCCGTCTTTCGCCGCGCTGCAAAATGATGCTTTCGATTTACTTTCGCTTCAATCGACTTGGTTGGGTTTGATGACTGTCTTGACAGTTCGATAACATCATGCAACTTTATATGTAAGATAAATATTCGACTTTGCTAGCACATTCATTAATGCGCTCGCGAAAATGTACGCGAAAGCGTCGCATACCTCAAGTAGCCTCTGATGAAGCCAGACAGCATCTCACGCAGTCAGCCTTACACAATCTTACAACAGGTCAATTTGGCCTCGACTGAGTGTCACGATCAGTATTGCACACACACGGTGTTCAGCGGAAACTGGCAACTCGTGACAATACGCTTTCCTTGAGTGCAGAAATTCGTCGAGCCTTGCTCTGTCGTGGATCGTAATGTGAACGAATAGTTCCAAACCTTCCCATGTGGAAGGACAAGTGAGGGATAACCTTCGCCGGTGGGGCACAGGCACTTCTCGCCTTTATGTGTGGAGGCCCACAAGCACGATATAATGCAGAAATATGAAGTATCTTTAGGTATGCAGAGATAATCGATGTCTAATTTATACGCGCCCTCTACAGTTACCGCGCATACATGAAGGACGGGGTTTCGTAGCTATCACCAAATTCCATACAGTTCATGCTGATGAGGCACGTGAAACGTCAAACCATGTTAGAGTATTGCACGTTGTAACCCAACAACTTTTGCCTTTGGCACATTTGCACAATGCCGGCGTTAAATGGGCCTACGTCTTAAAGACGTTTGCTATAGGCCGCCTATGACAGTCATTCAGCAGCAGTCATTCGGTCAGAGTGCGGCGTAAGACAGCTTGGAATGCATGCTACATGACATACGATCATGGTGTGACGGCTGGACGTCAGAAACCGTTGCCATGACCTCGGGAAAAAGGGTATGGTACTGTGAAACGGACGGTGAGGGCTTAAACTCGATGCCTGAAAATTATGGCACTATGGCTGAAACAGGTAAGACGTTGTCTGAGAATGATGTCAGCCGGCCTCACTGGCAGCTGGTGTATTGTTGAGGCTTTCTTAAGTCACTTGCGGCTCGAAAAAACCGCCACATTCGTTCCGCCCTTTCCATGGTATCGTAACATACCATTCTGCAGCCAACAATGAAGACACACGCAGACACAGCTGCTGAGACGTGTCAGCGAACTGGGCCACACTGAAAGAACAATTTATGTCAATTCATGTCGACTGTCAACGAGTTTAGCAGAGTTTCTGTTTGAACGCAGTCGCAACCCCACGTAATACATCTTGACCCTCGGCAGCAGCATGCGTCTTCATGATTGTCCCGCGGTGAGAGACCGCTGTCGAATGCGGGATTTCAAGACAGACACTTAGGCTGCGAGTTCGCAAGAAAACCGTATAACATAATGGCACTATTCAATCTTGTTTTCGCTTAGCTCAGTCAAGACAAGTTCATGCCATCCGCAGACATCTGAAAATATATCTCACATAAACGGGTCTTTCACGATCGATACGGTAGCCACAACTACAACAAACTTATCTCGGTAAGAAATGACGGGACGATACACGTTATGACGTGCGTCCTACCAATCTCAGCAATGATTTAATCATCATTGACAGAAAACCGTATTAATCCCACAGTCAAGCATGAGCCGAGTCGGGGCAAAGGGCCCGAGCCAACCCGACCGAAACCGAGCGCGCGCTGTCTCGGGCCAGGCAGCCGCTGGCCGCCGGCTGGCTGAACGCGGGTCGACAGACGTCGGACATTCGCAGACCATGTCCCAACGGAACAGTCAGGCAGCGGGGGCACAGGGCAGGACCAAGACATCGGTGACCAGCTCCCAGGCCGCCCCGCTGATCACCAGGCAAAAATCGGTACGTGATTTCGCTCCGATTGAAGTGCATCGTGGCACTTGAATCACTAATTTAATCGTGATATTGATATCAACCGTGGTTGTCATGATCCCTTATTCGCCTGCATGAAAAAGTAAAAACAATTTTTGAGCTGTCAGTCACTTAGGAACCTCAGTGGTGTGCAGTTTATGCACGCCACCAAATCGTGCAGAACGCTACGCCCGTGCACAGTGAGTTACTTGTCACGTCTGGACGCCCACGCTTGCTGGCCGCACGAACATGGGGTGTGCAGCGAAAGGCACCTGGCCGAGGCCTCGGAGCCGCGACCCCAGCCCGCAGCACGTGCTGCCGCAGCCCCGCCCCGGCCCGTCCGCTCGCCATCAACGGAGTGGCTCGTGCAGTCCTCCGCTCGTCAGTGACCCACGGCGCTGCCGCATCGGTCGGCTCTCACAGCTGGGCCGGCCCTTCCAGGCGCCTGACCTGAGCGGACCTGCGCCGCCGCCTGCCCGCCGGGCGCCCGGCGGCGCGCCGGCTGGCGACTTCAAGAGGCCAACCCTGCGGCCCGCGGCGCCGCCCGCCCTCGCCACCAAGCAGGGGCAGGCGACGGCGCCGGCGGAGGACGGCGTGGCGGACGACACACGGGGTCGGAGGGCAGGCGCAACGCAGAGGAGGTCCGAGGACGGTTCCGCTTCAGGGAAGTCGAATTCAAAACGGTTCCAGAGGGGGGGAAAATTTGGGCACAGTGCTGGGCTAAATGCGCATGGTTATGGTAGCAGCGTGGGGCGCGAAATAGCAAAAATGAGGGAGTTTTCCACACAATGTGCTGCTCGAGACAAACTTGTTAATGGGGGTCAGCGAAAGACGGACAAATCCAGTGCAGTTTCAAGCAGTTTTTGCAAAAGGCAGGGCATTGCAAACTTAAAGGGAAACTTGAGTAAAAACGGGCACAAGAGTAATGATGCTTGGGAAGAAAGTAAAACGACAAACATTACTGAAGGAAACAATGCAGCACGATTACAGGGCGTTAAGCTCTTGCCACAGTGGCGGCCAGAACATGCAGCCATCAATCTTACAAACGGAAGGTCACGTGGGGAAAAAGAAAAAGGAACGTCACAAAGTTGTCGAGAACGCCCACGAGACATTGCCGGAAAATCCAATAAACGACCTAGATCTCCAGAGCCAGAAAGTTCATCTTCTAAGAAGATAAGGCTTTCTAGCAACTCGGTTAAATCTCTCGTGGATAAATGGAGGGCTCAGGGGGTCCCAATGACAGGACGTTTCCAGTTGCCTTCCCACAAACGGGGCGTCGCAAGAAGAGCTTGCCCGGAACGAAGCATGAGCGTGCCCCAAACGAGCTTCAATTATACCGACAAGCAAGGACATCGGAAGAAGCCTAGCCCTATGGCGCTAGGTTGCCATGGAGGCCGTCTGTCTCCGGCGCTGCTCGGGCCACACCCGAATGCACACAAACCCATCCAACAGCCGATGTCATTCTCCACTTCCGAGAGCTCCCGGCAGGAGAGATCAAAGCCGCTGCAATCGAAGGCTTTCAGCACACCAGGCTCCTGGCCGTCGTCTCGGGCCAGCACACCGGGGGGCGATGCTCAGGCCCGGCGGCGCTGCAGCGAGCCTGCCCCTCTCGGTCACCACTGGGCCACGGGCCTGCCGCTGCTGCCGGATCTCTTGGAGCCGCTGTCTCCGATGTCACCGCTGTCACCGCCGTCTCCGCGGTCGGCAGAAACGGGGTCGCCCCACAGCGGCGAGGAGATCCTTCGGCCGTCCTTCGCGGCGAGCTGCTGCCCAGCCCGTGACCCTATCCTGTCAACTCCCCCTCATAGATCGCGTGCGGACCTGCGCGGCGGCCGCCACGCGGACGGGGCTTCGCACGGCAGTCGTCAGCGCCCTGGCCGCGCTGGGGACGCCGGCCACCGGACGAGCCGAGATCGGCCCGGTGACCGCCGGACGAGCGCGACGGACGAGCACAGTCCCAGCGGTGAGCGACGGGGGCCCGCTGAGCCGGGTGGCAGCCGCAGAGGTGGAGATCCTTCGGCGAGTCAGCGAACAAACATGAGTCAAGCTGAGAGTCAGAAGACGAGCTTAGATCTAACGGAAATTCGGCAGACAAACATGGCACGAGCCGAGCGCAAGCGGGCGGGCACAAGTCAAGCCGAAGGTCAGCGAACGAGCGCTGGCCGGCCGGGCAGCGGACAGAAACAGAGAGATTCTCCATTGAATGTTGCCACCACCAGTGGCAATCGATTCCGCGGCGAGTGGACGGGGAAAGGTCACCCGGACATTAAGTGCAGGGACGGAGGCAGGCGGGACAGCGGCCGACCTGATCGAGATCGATCTGGCCCAGAACACCCAGGTGCCGACAAAGTCGCCGGCACGCCTCCGGACACAAATCGGCTTACCAGTCTGCGAGGCGGCAGCGATCGGCCCGACGTTCGGCAGACAGGCGAGGTCCCCGTGTCGACGCGCACGACTGGAAATCGATTCGGCAGCGAGGAGCGCGGAGGCAGCCGGTGCGGCAGGGAGCGCGCGGCCGACCTCCGGCCTGGTGGGGTCAGGAGCGGCGGCGAGCACCCGTGCTGCAGCGACGTCTCCGACGCCGATCAGACGCGCGGGCGGAGTGGAAAACTGGGTCGTTCGCAGTGGAAAGATCTGGATCGAACTCACGCAGAGCGGAAATGCGCAGATGCGTTCTACTCAGAGCGAAGCGGTTCGGATCCATGTCACCCAAAGCGTAACGGTTTGGATCGAAGTCACCCAAAGCGCAACGGTCCCGACCCAACTCACCCAAAGCGGAACGAGTTGGATCAGCCTCACGCGGGTTGGAAAGATTCGGATCGACGTCATCATTCGAAGTGGAGAGATCTTGATCACCCACCTCCAGAGATGAAAGACCCGAATATGTCTAATTTGGAGTGGAAGGATTTAGATCATCCTATCTCTGACTGGAAAGATCTGGATCGCCCTCCTGTAGGGTGGAAGGATCTGGATCGCCCTCACTACGAGCATAAAGACACGGACAGCCTCCACCCTGAGCTTAAACACGAGGAGCGTCTGTGTCCCGGACGCGAGGATGAGGATCGCATCCACCCTGAGCGGAAAGCCTCGGATCTCCCGCATTCTGTGCACAAAGACGCGAGCCGCCACCACCCCCGAAAGACGGACGAGGCTGGATCTCGCCTCAAGCGTTTGAACGGAGATCGCTGCCATGACAAGCGCTTGGATGTCAAGCCCTCTCGCTGCGAGGTGACGGACGCGGCTTCCGTCCGCGGTGGACAGGGTCAGCCGGGCCGGGCCAGCGGCGAGCCGGCGGCCCGCGACCTGAGCATCTTCACGGCCGAGTACCTCTCGGAGCTGCACCAGCTGCAGCGGCGCATCATGACGTCTCGGGACGGCGCCGAGATGAGCCAGGTGCTGGCGCTGATCTGGGACACCGGCCAGGTGGAGCACACCGCGCTCTACTACGACTTCGACCTCTGCGCCCTTGATCAGGGCGTGGTGCGCAAGTTGCAGCGCTGTCTCAGCTGAGGACGTGACGTCACGGGTCAGGATCGGGCCGCGGGCCCCCGGGCTGTAGCAGGGGCGAGATACACAAGGGCAGCGGTGTGTCAGACGATGGCGATGTGTCTCTGCGACGTTGACGTCGGGGGAGTTCTCTTCGACCATAGGAGCTGCGGTGTACACACTCCCGAGGTGGCTATGAGAAGTGGTATGCCGGAGATGCTCAAAGTGGAGCTTTGCTATTACAAGCACGTGCTAATTTTTAATTTAATGAGTGGCGTGCGCGGTGCGCTCTTTTAGGCCCAGCGATGTTCGCAGAGAAGCTGCGTACGTTTGGTACTGTCTTGGAAAGCGCGAGTGGGTGCAGATCCTGGGATAACGAGATCAGATCAGAACCGATTCTTCATGACGGTGAGTGGCGTATTGTGTGGTAATTATATTTAACTGCCATGGAAGCCTTTCACTGATGAAATGCAATGTGTTAAGAATACGCACAGCTAGTGGTGCTTGCTTGTGGTAAAGGGCAGGACATGGGCTGATGTATCAGAGGTGGGGCTCGCTTAGGGTTACAAATTTGTTTTGACAGTTGTGATCTAGCCAGGTTGATTCTAAGTTAAGTTTCAATTCTGTATCTTATTGAGCCATATTTTGGAGCACATTAATGACCTAAAATTTGTTGATTACAGTCCATGACGATCATAATGCAGTGATGTTAGTTACAGTTTTTGCGGGGGAGGTTCTTAAAAATTGAAAAGGCACACTGCGTAACATCCGAAATCGGGCACGCTAGATTTACGATTCTTCCGAGAATAGCAGCGTAAATGAACGCTTTTGGACACGGCCCTCGCATACCGACGATTTTCCGGCAATGAAAAATCGTCAGTCACCAAAGATCCTTTGGCTTGCTCAGACATGTTCTTGTGGCTTTTAGTTGCATCGTTATCAGACGCCTCGAGCGTGCCGCGTGGTTGAATGATTATGCTGGTGTTTTAGCGAAAGAATGGTTTGGCTATTTGGTGCAGGCATAATCCTCAGGGCATGCTAGCAAGCTCGTTCTTGCCGCTGTGACATCGTCGCTGGCTATCTATGTTGGCTGTGAGAATTTTGTACTGCAAAATATACAAGAACTTCTCAGTGTATTCTGCTCTCAGTGTATTCAGTGTATTCTGCCAATGACAAAAATACTGGCCCGTGGTCGTCAATCATGTAGCGAATGAGAGTGGGCTGCTTGTGCCGGATTTGAGCAACGAGCCTGGATCTCATGGTGAACATACCTACGTAATTTGTGTCTAGGGACTGGCAGCCCTTATGCCACAAGAGCGAGGCATTTTACAGTTTGCCGGTGGCATTGCGGGGTGCTTGAGTCGAAAACCTCGCTTGGATTTCAACTGCGACACCGACGGAAGCCAATCTTGCTTATAGTTTTTGCACCGGGTAAGATCATCTCTGGTTACTTGGGGCTCATTTCTTAAGATGGCAGGTTTGAGGCTGAATGTTCCCCAAGGCCCTCAGCGTTGTGATGCGTGCACGTGCAAAGCCACATATGGTCCCTCTTAGAGCCAACAAACACCTGACGAGGACAGGAGAAGTCATAGGCCTACACCTTGTGGACAGGAAAATATTACCGACGATGATATTATTCTGGATGTGATTGTGTTCGCACTCATACCTGAAATATCTCTGACAGTTCCAGAAACTTTGATAACCATTTGAAAGTATTCTGCTGCACCAATACTTAATGCTTTTTTCAGCAAAGTAACCCATTGGTCTCCTCACAAACCATGGAGATCACTGGACCTCAACTTTTGTGCGTGACGAATTATCGTCCAAATCTATCAAGACTAGCAACTCCTCTACTGGGAATTTTAATCGAAGTTCCTATCACAATATTCATCATGGAAAATCAATCGATCTTCAGGGATACACGGAAACCAAAGATTGTCTTTCCCCTGAGGCCTGATCTCTGATGTAGAATCGAGTTTTGTTTACCGAGGTACGACACGTGCTCAAAGGAAGTGTTCCACATTTATCGAGGCGTTCGTGTCTGGCGCTCGTGAGCACGATTTTCGGCCGTCAACTGGCTCTCAATTAATGTTGTGCAAGGTACGAAGACATATGAAACCATGACGCATTGAGAAGCATATCTACTAAACAGATAATTGTGATGTCCGAGCAGACCTTCCCACTTAAAACGCATACCAATGATTATAAAAAGCTTGTTTCATCATATCTCATGCTTGATTCAAGATCTTCAAATGGGAAACATTCCCTTTAACATCTATGTTAAAGGAAATAACCTAGGGGAAAAAGGGGGATGGCCTATAGGTCATCCGTTGTCTTCCCGTTTATCACAGAAAGGATCATATAAGTGGCTGCTAGATTCAGAAGTGCTCTGCGCAGCAAATATATTTTATCAACATAGATCAAATCACGTGATTAACCTCTCAATTGTTTTCCCTTGCCTGAACCAGGGGTGTCAATTTTGGTAAATTATTGGGTAGCCGAACCAAAGGCCTGACAACCTACCCACCCCATTTTGCTCACCGGATTTAGTCCAATTTGTTTTGATCAAACGCAATACAGGTTTTTAATATTTGTATCATTTATAAAAGTACTTAATTTAAGCAATACAAAAGTCATGCGGCTTGAATCCAGGGAGCAGGCACTCGACGCACACGTCTCTTCTGATCGGCACGTGAAGGCCATATTTGGGGCGCCGATAGCGCCCTTGGCACGCATTTTGGTTGTGGTGGACGGGGACGTGGTTAGCCATGAAGGACTTAGGTCATCCCCGTATTCCAGAGCCTTTCACTGTAACCTCACAAACCATTGCGTGTCTTATGGCGCTAGGCATGTGAAGTTTATTGCATCGTTTATCCGCTCAGCTGTTGCGATTCTTTTTTTGTGATGAGAGCAGCTATGGCTTTTTGTTACGGAAGTAGTACGAGACGCCACTACGCAGAAAGACCAAAAAAGATCGGCTTTGTGTTATGGCCACGTTTTACCCACGTTTTTTTGTAGCATTCCAGCCAAAACATTGGGGGGCCAAGCCAACATTGTGGGACCCAACTTAACATCGGGGAACGGGTGGGGCGGGGCCTTAGAAAATGTAAATCGGAACCCGTGGCCTGAACACCCCATGCCAGTGAAAACACTGCCCTTGTTTTGGCTGTTTGAGCGTCTAATAAGTAGGTATTACCGTAGGCAAGCCGTGTCATGTCTTTTGCAGTTGCCATTGAGAAGGTGGACGTTGCTCAATGCTGTCCCATTGTTTCTCTGGCGCACCAGCTGTGCTGTCCCAGCTTCCTGCCCGAGTACCATTAACTAGCATACAGCGGCTTACCGGTCGAGGCAAGAACACACCGAGTCCGCCGCGCTGTGTGGCAGGAGAGAGGCTTCCCACCTCATCAAGTTGAATATCAGAGATTCTTTAGTATGGCTGTCTGAATCTGATGAAGGTCAGAAGTCGAATCGCGTCTTTTGATGGTCATGAGCTTTCAATCGTTGAGAATAACGTTACACTCTAACTGGACTTTATGATGCTGCTCATGCATCGCCATCCCTCATATGTCATCTGAGATATTGCCATAGATCGGATCTTCGCACTTTCGTTGTAAAGGCAATGCTAGGCCCTTCGACCTTAGAATGGGCTGAGCACAACATCTTCTCTGATAATCCATGTCCACCGCGCTGCAGTTTTGCTCCGGTGTTGCCTGAGGTCGCGACACTGAACTCAAGCTGTGAAGTGGCATGATCAGCTGTAATCCCAAAGGCCTGTCTTACCTGGTTACCATGCTGACTTTGTTGTTTGTTGGTTGATTACCTGGTGCATGTTGGTTGGGTCCCTGGCACGTGGTGATTGGTTACCTGGTTGCCATGTTGGGCATGCGGGGTGAACACGTCCAACACATGCATTGTCCACGCATTTTGAGGAGTTGTTAGGGTGTTGTTGGGTTCAGAGTACTTACCACGAAGACATTGCCGCTTGTACCCTTGCCCACACTCAAGTTCTGCCGTCCCAGTTCCTCTGACGACTCTGTCACTGACCTTTCTAGCCAGACAGAACAGCAAAGAAATGTGCGCCGTGTTCCGCAATGCTACGGAAAGTCAGTCCCGGCCAGGCAAGGCCTCTGACCAGCATCCCTGTGGGGCAAGGGCTCTGATCAGCAGCCCTGTGGCCAGCCCGCACTTTAGTCCCGACCAGGCACTGACCAGCAGCCCTGTGGCCAGCCCGCACGTCAGTCCCGGCCGAGCAGGGCCTCTGACCAGCAGCCCTGTAGGGCGGAGGCTATGACCAGCAGCCCTGTAGGGCGGAGGCTCTGACCAGCAGCCCTGTAGGGCGGAGGCTCTGACCAGCAGCCCTGTGGCCAGCCCGCACGTCAGTACCAACCAGGCAGGGCTCTGGCCAGCAGCCCTCTGACCTTTCCTGCTCCGCCAGGCTTATTAGTGAGTACGCTGTGGGACTGGAATTAGAGTGCTGAGTTCCTATGGAATACAAGTCCGGCATCTGTCCGTTAAGCCACGGAACAGGCAGCGCTCCTCAGTGGTTAGCAAAGAAGATCACGAAGGTATGTAATCAAAGTGGGATGGAGACATGTGTCACCACACAAGATCCGTGCTTAACCTTTATGCGTTCAGCGCATACTTTATAAGCCATGAAACATCATGTAGGTAACGGTGGTGGTAGAGTAAAAGGACCTATGATGTATGCCATTCCTCTAAACCTTAACGTAAAAACCTCGCGTGCAACGTGCACAGATTCCCTACCCCTGAAAAGCACTTGTTTTCGGGATGGCTTTACTTTGGAATGACACGCAAGCGTGTGTCGTTGACACTGCAAAGGATACCGACCGGCGAATAGCCGGTGTCCGTGCTGTGCCTTCTGACAAAGTGCATGTAAGTGTCGAAAGGATAAATAAATGCAGTGACCTATTGCGAAGTGCATACCAGTTGTTGCGCTGCATTGGCCTATTGGACAATGTAGTTTTTTTATTGCGCACTAATAATAGTTTTCTCTAAGCTAAACA